CCTGCTGCTTTCAAATTGATTTACCCGATGCTATGAATACAGGGTAAAAATGTTATTACTAAATATTTATTCATAAATTCCTACATTAAATGCTTTTATCTTGCGAAACTTTTTTAAACGGTAAACATTTTTTAACTAAATTGTAAATATTAAAGTGGACTTTGTATTTAATAATTATGAGTCCCATTTTACTTCTACCGTAAAATACAAACTGAAGCATATTATACTCTGGAGATGTATTGCATTTAAAAATAATAAAATCGATGTTACAATTGTCTTTAATCTTGGCCATAAAATGCCGTAAGATATCTCTTCGTGCCACGTTAATAAAGTTCTTGCCCCCTCAAGTGACAGAAAGTATTTTCTTTTCATATTTCTCTCTCTCTCTCTATCTATCTCTCTCTCTCTCACCCGCTTTCTCACGTTCTCTTTCACTCGCAACATTATTATAGAAATTATTTTATATCTTTAATTTTCTTGCCTAAGATATTTCGGTGGATATCAGAAAATTATAAATTTACTTGGGAATTTTATAGGATTTTTTAATTCGCAATTTAATTCGCAATCACAAAAAAACAAAACGAGACAAATTAGCGTGGATTATTGAAAACTAAAATAGCATAATTCATACAAAATGGCCATAATTCTGTTCTCTGAAATTTCTTCATCAACTCTAACTTGATAAATACTATTTATCATATAAAAGACAATTTTTCGCAAAATCATATTTTCCTTTTAAACATAATATATGCGCCTTATTGTAAGTGTGTGGTAAAAAAAAAAAATCTCGGACAAAGTAGTACTTCATCGTTACAGCATGAGATAGACAGCGACATAACATCAGCTGAGAAACTTTATAAATCGAAGGTAGAATTTAAAGCCATGATAAATTATCGTTTCAATAACGTCTCTACGCAACGGTCGGATTTCACGATGAAAACGCAGGCCGGTGAAAGTGTTGCGAGCTAAAAGAGAGAAGAAAGAAAAACGAACAATGAAGAGCCGTGAATTCGAAGCACGTAGCAATTGGATAGCTTCCGTAGTATTTAACGCCACCCGCCGCAGTTGCCTCTTCCAATAGGACCTCGAGTTTCGTTGACGCTGTAAGGCCTCATATTTTGGTATTCGCTTTCTAGTTGTGCTCATTCATAGTGTTGTGCGATTATTGAAAAAAGAAAAAAGACAAAAGATAAAAGGAAAAAGAAAAAATGCTGGTACGTATAAGTATTAATTGCTATACTATTTATATATCCACGCCGACGTGGCTGATCATTGATTTTCCATTATTTTGATTATTTTGATATATCGATGTGCATTATATGGGAACATGTTCATTATGAGCCAATCTTGTTGGAGATAATGATTATATTGTTATTATTAATTGATATTGTTGTTAAATCTTTTTTTTCAAGTGATCCATTTTTTTTTTTTTTTTTTTTTTTTTTTTTTTTTTTTTTTTTTTTTTTTTTTTTTTTTTTTTTTGGTTTAACGCTTAAGCTCGTTATTAGTTTCTAAGGGCTTAGATTGGTTAGATTAATATTTAAAATGAAATTTTAAATTGCACGACGAATGTACAGGTTTTTCAAGAGTGCTAAGTGTATTTCGATGGAAAATCCTCTTTATGTAAATATCGCAGAAATGCGTATTTTAATAATTATTCAAACGATTTAATGATTGAAAAATAAGCTAATCTACTTAAAGTTTCTAAGTGCCAGAATTGTCTAATTTGAGAGTCTGAGAAGTCGGTATTAACTAATTAACAAGCTACGATTTACAATATATAGCATTACAATTTGAAAAAACTTTATTTCATACAAGAAATCAGACTTGATTTGGAAATAAAATGAAAAACAAAAAGGGAAAAAAAAGAAGAAGAACAAGATATAAAAATGACTTTAAAAGACAGAAAAACGATTAATTTAATTATCAAGCAAGTGAAAATGTTGTAATTAACAGTGCAATTTTCGTATTTAGATGTCAAGCCAGTCCAACAAATATATGTTAAAAATTTATTCTCTTTTTTCATTCGAATGCCATACCATTTAGAACAGTGGCTTGTGCGATTTATCAGCTAGAGCCAACTAAATAGAATAAAAAATGCCTTTACCAATCTATGGGAATAATTATTTTCTTCTTTAACGCATCCATATATGGGTGTAAATACAAATTTTAAACGATTTTTATTTATAACTGTGTCAATTTAATAGTGAATCGATTCTAATGTAAATTAGAAAAATTGAAGTGAGTATTTATTTTATTATCTTCGCTCCTTTCGACACGAACATTGTTTATCAGATATATTGTAAATTAGTAAATGAAACGCAATGCGCTCGATATGCCGCAAGCGTACAGAATGCAGTGTTAATTTGTTTTTTTATGTTATTCTTAATGCCATCTCGTGCTCCAATTGCCATAATTAAAATAAACTCAAAGGAGAATAATATAGAAATAAATAGATGAGAGGCACAGAAACGATCAACCCCTAATAGCTGTTCAATACCATTCAGTTATGACTCCTCTATGCTCTCGCCATGTGATATTACAGATGCTCTCATGGCTCTCGATTGTCATAATGATTCTTGTCGATGCTCGAGTTGAGGGTTTAACCAATGGGGTGAAGCATACCAACGTACTGGGAGGTCTGGAACAACACGCCTCGTTTAGTTTCGTAAGACCTGGTCTCACCCAGACGGCATTTGCCTTCAATGGTCCATCATCGCACCAATCGTTCAGCTCCAGTGTTGGCGATCCTTATTTAGTTAACAAGGCTCTGCCAGGTGTTGCTCATGCTTTGGCTTATCGTAATCCCGGCCTAGGTACGCATCTGACAATGTGTTCGACCTTTACTACTTTTTAAGCTCTCTCCCTTTTCCTCCCTCTTTTCAATCATTTTTAACCATTTTCGTATACTTCTCTCGTAAATTATAATTAAAAACTATCGGCATTCGCGCACTTGCATAAATATAAATGACTTTATAGTTATATTTTGAACATCGTTATATAAATATTATTATAGTTTAACTAAATAATTCATAATAATTTTAATAATAATTATTATTATTATTACAAACAAAGTCAAATTTTTATTTAATATATCGTTTAATTCATAATTATACGTATGAAAATTCGAAATACAATCAGCATACCACGTTCTTCTTCCATTTTGGATTAAAAAGATTTAAAATACTTGATAATCCTTGGCTTTTTAAAAATCTATTTAAATATTATTTTAGCAGCTTCCTGCCAGCTTATTAAAAAAATCTCTTACTATATAATCGCTATACTGTAATCTCACAATCTGCTTTCTTGTCCAACTGAATACATTCAAAATCCACTTTACCTTACGCAATTTAATTACACTCACAATATTTACAATACAATATTATCCGATATTTCATTATATTACAATTATATACTGTTCCATATATGTCAATTATTTCAAAAAAATATTTTTTTATTCATTAATATTATTTGGATTTTAAGAATAAATTGTAATTAGTTTATCGCGAAAATTAATTTTCCTCCAGTTAATATGTAGTCGATTATTAGCTTGTTTTTATCTTTCTCTATTCACTTAATAAATATTTATTTATAGTAAATAAAATAAATAGCTATTTTTAACAACATAATTTTTCTATATATATATATATATATATATGTATATGTATTATATTGCATAAAAAAACTATTTAAATAGTTTAAAATTATTTATTACAGTTTATTTGTAAATAATACGAGAAAGAATTCATTTACTGCATGAATTTAAATTTATTACAAATATTTTATTGATAATATTTACCGTTAATTTATTATTTAATTATAAAAATTAAAAGAATTATAAAAAAAAATAAATAAAAGTATTATTTTTATAAATTTCATTATAATTTAATAATTCATTCGTGTATTCGTGTGCTCTCTCTCTCTCTCTCTCTCTCTATCTCACTCTCCCTCTCTTCCTCACTCTTAAACTACATGTACACACAGTTTGTTTACATGTGACTTTAAAATAAATCATTGACAATTTTTATTTATCTACTAAAAATGAAAATTAATACAAGATAAGTTGTTTTACGACCTCGATTAATTAGAGTTAAAAGCGTAAACTGCTAATAAATAAATAATAAATTTTGGTATTTTACACTCATAATATAAACAAGTCACTTTGTTAAGTGAATGAATGTAAATGTCTATATGTATTCAGAATCTCATAAATGTAATACTTGATTTTCAATGAGATAAAAAAACATAACTAACGAATATTTACTTTTAAAAATCTGAATATACACAATGACCGATATAGTAATTGCGGAAAATTAAATGTGGAAAATAACTTGAAAGTAAGACTGATAAACAGAATGTATGATAAAATAAATATGAAAATATTGAAAACATTATTAAAAGAAAAAAACATAAACTTTTATCAATAAACATAATATAATAAAAAATAAATCATTTAGCTGTTTATTACTTTAAACGAGTCGTAACTACGAATGTATTCATTGAAAATCATGAATTTCATTACATATTGGTTCAAATTGCGCCTACGTAATCCATCATTCCAAAGAATATCGTCAATAATTTCAGAGATTGTAATATTTTGTTAAAAATTATAGCTTCAATTCAGATATTAACACCGTGTGTTATAGATTACATTTATTCATCATTCTATTTGTATTGCCGTGCCCGTAAATTTCATTATGATATATTATTTATAATAAGCAAATATCATTCATATAATAGTTGGCTAAAAGTTTTATTTAATGTAAAATTATTAATGTTTAACACTGCTAATTAATTGCTTATAATTAATAAATTATAATTAGTGATAATTCTATTATTGTATAGTATAATTAATAATTATCATTTAATCTTCAACTAATTACTTATTTGGAGGCGAATTATAAGAAGTATTTTATGAATATAACGCTTGACCTATGCATTCAAAATGTTTCTAATATAATAAAATAAATTTAGTCGATTGAATGCCCAATATTACATTTTCATTGCACATAATATTTCAGTTGGTGTAATAAAATTTATTATATTTTTTTCACAACAATCATTAATTGAACACTACTAGTGGGAATAAGCTATATTACAATAAGTAAAAGAAAGTTTCTACTTGTTCAAAATGAGATTATTCATTTACAAAAAATCAATATCCCAAATGTTTTTATTAATATTCATGCTTAATTAGTTAAATCTATAATCTAATTTTTTATTGTTTACGAATTATAACTTATTTAATATTATCAAGGAATTGTATTTGGTTCGTTCTACAGAGAAAGCATAAGGAAAGGATATATCAGATTTTTTTAACTTTTTAAAATGATATTTGCGAAATTCGAATCGAATTGAGTTCTTGGCAAACTTCATTGTTAATAAAATAAAGAAGAGAATAAATAGAGTTTTTAAATGTTAATTTAATTATTTCATAAAGCATTGAAAAGTATCAAATATATTTGAATTTATTTTGTATGTTTGTAATCTATATTAAAAATTCTTTTAATGGATAAATCCTATCAGAATATTGTATCAATAAAGTTTCGATTCATATGTTCTATAGAAACAGAAAGTATGTATTGCAATTTTTTTAATAATCTAAACCGAGCTGAATTTATTATTATTATTATATATTCAATTATTTACAAAAAGACGCATATTCACACGTAATTAGAATGTAGAAAACTCGCGTCATTTTCTTTTACATTGCGATTAAAAACTGATTAAATTATCTGCCTCGTCACTAATCTCCACCGTTTTCATTAACTGCATATATTGTTCACTAACATCCTTTGATTCGCCTCCCATTGCAACGGTATTAAAAACAACATGCATGGTGACTCTTCTTATTATGGTTACCAAAATTATCGCACACTACTTCTGCTTAATTCTATTTAGGTTTTGCACCAGTTCACCACGGCCCCGTCGCACCAACGTATAATATCGGCTCACCAGCCCCTGCCATCTACCCATCACAGCCACTTGATTACCAGCAGCAACAAGCCTTGGCATTGGCATATCAACATCAACTGCAGCAGTATCATCAATACCAGCAGCAACAACAGCCAGTCTTTTCAGGTATGCGATTTTCGCATTATTTCTATTATGTACAGAGAGCCAATGAAATGTAAAGCTTTAGATAGAAATTCTTATATTATATAAATATTAATTACGAACAATGCGGATGTACAGACACTATTTGTACTAACACAAAAATGTGCTAATACATAATGCTAATTCAAATTTGTTAAGTTTTCAAATAAGCAATTAATTTTAATAATATATTTACAATTCAGAGATATATTTTTTGTTCTATGAGTTATGTGTTGAACAAACACAAGTAATTGAGTAATCGAACGAAAAGTTTCATGTATTTGATAATTATATCTTTACAATTAATTTTCTATTAAATACGTGCATGAATATTTTGCATTAAAACTTATTAAACTTATGATTGTTGGCGTAAATTGTAATTTACATGTATAATACCTATTGTAAACTTACGATTCATGATTTCATCTACAAATTTATCTATAATTTATAAGTATCAATATTGTCTAGCATCGATACATCCACACATTTTAATAATAAAAAAAAAAACCTATAAATTTACTTAATATTTATATTAATATTCCATTGATGATGGATAATACAAGATGTGCGCGTGCCTTTCATTGTCTCAATTATCATAATCGATATCATATCAATGTGATCTACTCGAGGAAGCAGTATATCCTATTGTTAACAATATTTATAATGTTAATTATTATCGTAATAAATGAAATTTAAATTAAAATTAAATTATTAGTACGGATTTTAAATTAAATAATTTTTCACATATAATTGAAAGGCGACGATCAATTGTAGAAGCGTAATATTCGGATAGATCAGGTTTTTGCATTTACATTAGTTTTTGTTATTTACAATGAAATTGTGTAAAAATAGATTTAGTAATTATTAATAACCATAAAATTAATAATCATTAATGACAATCATTAGATACAATATATTAACATTTAAATACAAACGTTAATGAACAATTGCGAGAACTCAAAGAATATATATTTCAACATTTCTAATTTCGAACTTTTTAAGTACAACTATTATAATGCATAATTATACTTAAAAAGGTTATACCAATCATAATTATTAATACAGAATACATTCAGCAATTACAAGGTCAGCAAATTAACGCAGACATTCAAGAAAATGTACAACATCCCCATCATTCTCGACTTTTACCAGTGAGGTACACTCCTAATACCCCATTAGCCGGAGACTCTATTCCCGAGCAACTTCAACTTCAACTTCAGCATCAGCATCAGCATCAGCAGCATCAGCAGCAACAAGTCCAATCTCAGCCTCAGCAACCGAGGCGAAATTTATTAGGCATTGCGTACTCCTCTTCTCCATCAGTGGCTCATGTTAAAGTCAGCGGTAATGGCTACAAAATTCACTTTTAATCAATTCCATTCACATTGATTTGTTGTAAATTTTGAAAATAGCTATTCTGAACAAATTAAAAAAGAATGGAAAAACCTAAATGTTTATGAACTGTCTAGAAAGTGCATACTGCACTAAATACTTTCGCCAATATCGCCAATATTTACAAATATGTCATTTCAGTATTATATAAATATTATATAAATTAATAATATAGAGGACGTACATAATGGTTATTATGCTCTCTTAAACATTTTAAAACATTATTAATTTTATTTTACGATTCTTATAGTTGAATGTAAATAGACTTGAATTTCTAATTGCGACATGCTAAAATAGTATATGAAATTCGTAGAAAGTATTTAAAAACTTGAATTAAAAGTAATAAAAGATTTTATAACACCCCGTACACGTATATTTATTAAATTGCTAAAATTAATTTTTCACATTAATAAATATGCACGAGTTATGTCATGATCATTGAGAATAAATATTAATTACATACTTTCTAGTCTCGATCGGATTTATAAATTATTTTTTTTATACTGGAAATTATAATTAATTTTTATTATCAGTTAACAGACAATACCCCATCTTTGTCTTTAAACATAATAATAGAAACTTTACAAATTATTTTCTATTCCAAATAAATGTAATTATTTTCTTTAAGTATGTATGTATTCGTTTGTAATAAAATTGTTTGAACCATTACATAATAAATATATCTTTATTATATAATTGATTGTTTATATTTATCTATCTATCTATATATATATATATATATATATATATATATATATATATATATATATATATATATGCAATTACTAAGAATATAATTAAATTTTATTAAAAAATTAATTCACATATTTGTCTTATTGAATATAAATATTTTTTTATAATTGATTTTTATGGCTCAACTTAAAAATTTAATTTTAAATTTAATATTTACAGAAACAAATATTATGTATTTATTTAAATTTAAATTTAAGCTAAATTGAGTGAAATTTAGATTAAATTTTGAAGTCAATATATATATATATATAAATATATAATCCATTAATTGTAATTATTTCATTATAATTCAGAATTTCAATTAGTCAAATATTTCTTTCAATTTATAGGAATGTAATAGAAGAAAATGCTAACATTAAATAAATACACAAGTCCAAATGATCAACATTTTCAATGAAAGAAATGTCAATTTTTGGCTGAAATGTGAATGATTTCAGTTTCAAAAATAATTATCTAAACACCGTAATTAACATAATTGTTAGAAGTATTACAAAATTATGTTTATAATTAAATTGAATTAATTAAAAAATAATATTTATTATATTAGATATAAATTTTCCAAACGATATGCCCAATTATCTAAAATTAAAAATCAATTTAATGAGTAAACTAATGTAATTGATATTACCTAAAATATGTGAAAATTAATTTTGTTCTGCTTCTAAAGAACTTGTTATTATTTTGTTATTAGAACGTTATATGCAACACTTTTAATTAACAATAAATAAATAAATAAATAATTGAATATTAGAAAAAAATTAGAAAATGTTTTAAAAAGTTGTAACTAGTTGCACGATTAATTTTATATAAAATGTATTAACGTATTTATATGTACATATTTACATATAATTGTAATAATATATACAATTATATATAATATATACTTACTATGATAGCGTTTTAATGTATATTTCTTACATAAAGAAATGTGCGAATTTATTATCGTTATAAAATTAAGCATAGAGAGTTATACTTTTATTAGTCTACATTAAAAAATCAGTTAAAAATCATTTATATTTACATTACACTGTACTACGATAATATATAAAGAAACAAAATTTTTTAAACATAATGATTCTCTGTCTACTTATCTATATAAATTTTATTATGAAATTAACAGAACTATTATTTAAAAGCTACGGTTTCATTAAATTATTAATAATAAAATAAGCTGCTATATATCTTTTTGCAATTGCCTAATTCAATGAAAGTAATATATTGACAAGACGATAAACTCAATAATATATGCTATCATTCGTGAAGACATTAAATACCACCGATGACGATTCAAATTCAACTATGTACCTAAAGATTCGTATTTAAATTCATTGAATTTATGCAATTCGCCGTTTTCTCTCACACATGCACGCACGTACGCACTTATTATTCTCAATATCTACTTCGTTTTGCATTTGCATGTACGTACAAGTTTGTATATACTCATGGATGAGTTATGCTTGACTATGAGAATAGAGTGTTTAAATTTTAAAATCCGTACGTAGTCATGGAGATTATTATCCTAAAACAAATATTTCACCTTTTTTTTTTTTTTTTTTCCCCCCCTTTAATTGAATAAATGACGATATATAAACTGTCTTATCACAGCACTCGATTTAAACAATAAAATTTAATAATTATGGACAGAATTTTGGAATATCTACGGTAGCATTTTTTATAGATGTAGCATATAAAATTCACTGCTTTTTAAAGACATTATAAATATTATAAAAATTTTAGATATAAATTCATATTGAATTTTCGTTTTTCATTCTTTCGTTTATTCCATCACCTGCCAAAATAATTGTTGAAGATAATATGAGATATTATAAGGCAGTGAAATATTTGATTATTTCAACGAATATTTTAAATTAACGAGCAATAATCTCACGAAAAGTAAAGAAAAATTAATAATGTGATTTTTAAAGAGAGAAGAAAAATGATTTTTAAAAATATATAAATAGACTTATAATAATACTAAGACTGAAATTATCAACAAATTTGAAAAATTTGATTAATAAATGACAATAATCGGCACGTGTTAACATTAAGTGAGACACAAATCATTCTGGCTTCAGCGATACAAATTAATTCATGTCGAATACTTACTTTAATAATTAAAAAAAAAAAAAAATATATATATATATATATAAAATATAGTAAAAGAATGAATTTATTCGACAAATATATAAAAATTTTATGTCAATTTTCTTTTACACTCAATCGAATTATTAATTATTAATTCATATGACAGCTTCAACACTGTCGCATAATTCATAATATAAGCATTAAAGATTCCATTTTTTTTAATTCATAAAATTCCACAGCTTCTACATTAAACATTTGCTTTACATTATTAGATGATTAATATAAATAAGTAGTAGTTGTCGCCACATAAGTTTTATATAATTTAGAAAAAATATTTCTTTGAAATCGATCGTACTCCCAGATTCTCAGAATATGTGAATAAAAACATTTTGTATAAAAGTGGTGATTTTTTTACATTAAATTGTTAAAAAAAATATTTTACACATTCACTAGGCAATATAAAAAATTAAAATAATAGTCTATCTAAGACATAATTTAACGAACGACTTATCTATCGCTAAATTTTCAATATGACATTCAGCATTCATATTAATTGGAATAATTCATAAGATACGGCATAAGTCAGAGCTATATGCTTTAATAAACAAAATAATTTAAAATTATATTTGATGTATTTGCCAAAATAAACTTATAGTTAGTTTATGAAACAAAGGTGAAAAGAATTTAGCTTATATATTAACACGCTTATATAAATAAAGTATCCAAACAACGTATTTAATATTTGTTCTCAATCAGCCCCAAGGTAGTCTCAAGGTGTCTTCCTCACTTTTCCGTTAGTCATTCCTGTTCGCCGTCCGCCTACGCAATTCATCGTTGCCTTACGACTACAGCGGAGAAGGGAAAGACGGCCAAAATAATTTTATTAAAAAAGTACGCCGCAGCGCGTGCATAAGACTCGTCGTGCATCTATTTCAATAATAAACGAATAAAAAAAATTCGCGAGGGCAGTTAGCGACGCTCGTTTGTGCTTGTACATGACAATCGAGGCCCAAGGCAACATTAAAACGTCCTTCCCGACGCGTCGATATTGTCGACTACTTCTGTATCGATGAACAATACATTGAACAAAGAATCATTAGATTATAATCGTTTTTAAATGACAATTTTTATTATGTCGATTGCAGATTCGCTGATAATTGAATAAATGTTTATTACGTATAACGAGGTTGCGTGTATATTTTGTTTATTTACATATATAGTTATTATACGAAGCGTAGCACGTGTAAGTGCCATTTATCCAGAATTTATAAATAACCATTTGTGTATCCACTAGATGGCGCCTGATACCATTTAAACGTGAATTTTACATTATAACTGAGAAATCTATAGGTAGAAGCCTAAATTCACAAAATCTCTCTAACTTATTCTTCCTTTTCATTTACGCAAATAAACTTTTTATCTTACTCCATAATAAAATTCTTAATAATATAATTTGTATCATAAAGAAACCCTTTAAAAAATTCTAATATTCGAAAAATGCTTAATGTTTCGTAATCAAATAAAAATCGAAGACGAAAGACATAAAAGGAAGAAAAGAAAGAAAATTCAATTATCTTTGTATAGCTCCCAACTTTTCAAAATATCCTCCCTTCTCTACGATTCACTGAAAAAAAAAAAAAAAAAAATTACAATAAAAAAAGGCCACTCCATTACTATATTTATGTTAATCAATGCTCTAAAAATTAACCAAATTACTCTAAAATTGCTATTTCGTCGAAATCAATGTATAATTTTTTCGACTTTTATATTTTGATCTTTGTACATTAACTTCTACGACTGAGAATTCCAAAACTATTACGCTTCTCATAGAAAGACGATGCTTATAATAAGAACATCTTTATTTAATACGTTAAACTTAACTTTTACGCAATGATGTAGTTGAGTGATTATTACTTAACGTTTTGCATTGTATATTATCGAAATCGTCGTTTTTTAAATGTAGTTATTATAAGCTCAATTAATATCGTTTTCTGATAATAAAGTAGTTCTATTGTTGGCGTTAATTAAATTATCTACGTTTACTTTATTAAAATAAATTGTATATCAAAGTTTTAGACATAATATATATATATCTGATTCAACATTCTGAGAACAATATTTGATATAAATATTATACATTGTTTTTACTCGTATTAAAAGCAACGAAAACAATAAGAAAAATTAGAAATATAAAGTATTTCTTTGTACAATATATATTTCAAAATAAATTGAATAAACATTAATTATAAATAGCTATTTGATAAAATTATTCACACCGGAAGAAATAAATTTTTGATATTTTTGTTTATTTTTAACTTTATTTTAATTTATGTATTTATTTATTTATTTATTTTTTTTTTTTTTCAAAAATTGCTCACATCAATTTTACTTTTAAATGTGAAAAATATTTAAAAAAAAAAAAAATAATAAATAATTGTCCATAAATGAATTAATTCTTAAAATATTTTTATTTATATTTTTTATCTATTACTATTATTACAACTATCTCTCTTGTGATATATAATTATTATATGTTGAATTATGGTTGAATCAACGAGGATTTAAGATATATGATAATCAATGAAATCCAACTTTCTTGATGAATGCAAAGCATATGGTCACCGTGCAATCGATGCAATGTCAAATAAACTTTGATAGATGCGCAAAAACTAGATGTCACTATATTTTTGTCAATTATACATGAAATTATATTGTAAGCTGCTAATCGTTTACTGTTGGTTTAAAATTGGCGCCGTTAATTCATGTTCTCACGTTAATTTTAGATGAGCTGCCAATGTTATGTATGTGTACCAAGTGATTGTGTGCTCATGCGTGGGCACAAACGCGTATATAAGCATCTTTGTCGTCGCTCTCTCTCTCTCTCTCTCTCTCTCTCTCTCTCTCTATATATATATATATATATATATATATATATATATATATATATATATAACGTTATTTTCAAATCTTTCCTTATTAAATATTAAATCGTATAAAAAAGTAATAAAATATGGCTTTTATATTTTTTAAAAATATTTCTACAAAAGGATAACTTCGAAATAAAGTTAAACAAATTAATCGGAGCTTGATAATTCGTTTGCTTAACAAGCTTACGTCGAAATTGATCGGTATTAACGTAATAATAACTAGGCGCGAAGACGAAAGTACACGTGTACGACATTAATTATTCGTAAAAAATTGACGGCTAAACTTATTGTTTTAATGAAACTAAATTATGGTCTTTTTAATAAGCCATGGAGTCGTCGCTCGCACAGCAAACCCCCCACGTTGTTATGGACTCGTAAGAGGAGGCGTATTATCCGTGGGCTATCATCGTCCAAATTTATTAGAATCGATTAGGAAACGAAAGTCCTATCTACTGTCGAAGCTAATGAGCGAGCGTTAATCGGCGATAGGCGATAATTTATCAGCGCACAGGGGCACTTGATCACGCGAGCGAGAAAAAGTCGAATCGGCGATGAAAGATGTCGGGTCGCGTTACCACCCCGCATGTTCTCACCGACCCACACAAGCACACAAACACACACACACACACACACACGCGCACACCCTCCCCCGCCCGCCGGTTCCCACCCTATTTAACATGCGATTGTTCGATGATTTTGCGCGCTTGCGGCACGCGCTACGAGCACCAACGGCCCTTAACATCGCGACCTTGAGTGGGTGCTTGAGGGCTTTTAATGAGCGAGTATGAGAGTAGGTGCCGGATTCCGGTGGTGGTTGGGATGAAGGGGGAGCCAACCGTATGGTTGGCTACTAAGTTAATAAAGGGCTCGTCACAACCGTGCCGGGGATATGACGGCCGAAAGTCGTCGGAGCTTGTGGAGCGGTGCGGGAAGCGGAAGAGCAGCAGCAGCAACAACAACAGCAGCAGCATACCGAGGCAGTGGATGCGAGCTCAGTGAGTGCCGGTAAGAAGTCGCTGGAATCGCAATTCGGGTGCTGCGCATTACCTCGTGCGCGCCTTTATCGCGACACGGAGAAAACGTGCTCGAGCGCGCGGGCAAGCGTGAAAAAAAAGATCACGGATCGTCGAACTAGCGGACCTTCTGCGCCCGATTGAGTATCAATAGAGCGTCGAACGTCGTGCGGAGCCGACACTTGGTGCGCACTGGACGTCGGAAGAAGATCCAAGGAGCAGGGGGAGGAGGAGGAGTAGGAGGAGGAGGAGTAGGAGGAGGAGGAGGTGGAGGAGGAGGAGGAGGAGGTGGAGGAGGCGGTGGTGGTGGTAGTAGTGGTGAACAGGCCCTGATCCCCGGGCCAGCCGAGGTAAAGTAATAGATTGCCGCTGGAGTAGGAGATCACACGGTTCGCTGAATTGGGAAGAGGGAAAGATGTCGGCGTCACCGATCGCGAGGCAGGCGACCCAGAGCCAGAGCATCCCAGCGTCCAAGAGTATCGTCATCCAGGACGCGAACCAGATGCCCGCGGATTATTCATCGACTCCCGGAGGCACTCTCTACTCGACTACGCCGGGAGGTTAGTTGCTCTCTTGTAGTGAGTCGTCCACGCTTTTCAAGCTCTCCGGCCGCCGAGGGCTTGTTGATTTGGCTGGTCGATCAATCGACGATGTCGAGACTAAACACAGTCGTGCGGGGGAGAGACTTTCTCGGTGATATTTGCGTGGACGAGTTTCGCTAGTCCAGAATTACGAATTTCAATGTCAATATCGCTCTATTCTATTCTACTCCATTGTGTTGTATTCTATTATATTGCATTGCATTGCATTACACCACATTGTGTTTTATTGTGTTGTATTATATGGTATGGTATGGTATGGTATGGTTTGGTTTGGTTTGGTTTGGTTTGGTTTGGTTTGGTTTGGTTTGGTTTGGTTTGGTTTGGTTTGGTTTGGTTTGGTTTGGTTTGGTTTGGTTTGGTTTGGTTTGGTTTGGTTTGGTTTGGCTTGGCTTGGCTTGGCTTGGCTTGGCTTGGTTTGGTTTGGCTTGAGTTGCGTTTTCTTTTCTTTTCTCTTGTTTTCTTTAGTATTGTTAAGGCGACCCTTCGATAAGCCGAGCCCAATTTGGAAACGTTATTTCTACCTTGGAAATTCACCGGAATTGGAAATTAAGGGAAACAGTAGTTTCAAGCTGTTTTAACGCATCGATAAGAATTGCATGAGACTATTAATATCAATTTTGAGGGTCGATTTAAGAAAAATAATTTTGTTAATGTAACGTTCGTCATCGGTGCTTATTTCGTCCCTTTTATCTTATCCGTTATTCGAATGAAACACAAAGAGCATAACACAACGATGGAACAAATTTTTATTTTGAAGGATATTGTCATTGCTGTTTTCCATGTTGTTGTTTTTCTATCTCATTACTTACAATCAGCGGTAAATGATATTTAATAGTCACCGAGTTTATTTTCATGCATTTGTAGTATGTGAACGCTAATTACTCGTTAATTGTATTAATCATGAAGGTAATGCGAAAAACATAACCGAATCTGCTATTACTCGTTATATTCTAATGTTTTCAATAATTTCGGTCCGTTTGACATTTATCATTAAATCGATGCCTCTCCATTTTAAACTCTACTACTTTCTTACATTCGCGTAATTTTCCAAAAACAAACAAACTGTTTCCCATTGGTAATTAATATTGCTCAGAATAAAAATGAAGATAATCAATGTAAATAGACGATAATTGTTAATGTCCAATAGATTATATTCGACGTATTACCAATTACAATTCGCCATCCTTGATAAATAAAGTAATTTTTCATTTTTTCATATTTTCATAAATTTTCTTCCTTTTCTTTTAATATAATCGACCGATTACAACGATCAACGCAAAACATTCCGGCAATATTATATAATTATGAGAAGAGGCGATAAACACGGAATTAACCCAACGAATACTTACATGACCTTATCTTGGGTCATATTTATACATGCGAAATGCCTTTATTGTTATCGTATATCCTTGTCCTTTAAATTTTATCTTTGTATAGGCTACAGGCTTTTCTTGCGGTGAAAGGAACAAACTTTAATAGAACGCAGAAAATAATATAACCAATAATAGAAAAAAACTCGACGTTTTCTATCATGAATTAACTATACGATATTTGAAATGTTATAACAATATGGAAAAAAGGCATTGTATTTTATAATAATTTTAACCTGCGATCATTGCATTGGAAAACATTTAACAAATAATGAAATTAAAGCGAACGATATTAAATTTCATTTTAATTTCATAAATTCATAAATTTTGAAAATTTTGACGTCAAATTCACATTTGTAATCATAAGAAGCTTATAAATATTAAAATATTAAAATATTAAAATTTACGCATAATATATTATATCTCATTAGTGTTATTAACACCGATGAAAGCGGACACAAACTCTGATATTTAACATTACATTAACTCTTAAAATTATTTTCATCTACAATCTACAATTGGATTTTTTAATTGTTATCATAAAACAATAGAGGCTCACGTCAGATATGAGGTTAGAGATGAATATTTCTAATGATATATCAAGTATTGCCCAAGTTAAATATTTTTAACGAATATTGAAATCTAAATATTAGATTAACCAAGATTATATTTTAAATACATTCAAATATCTCTATATGTCATATTACGTCTCTTTTATTCTTTTAATAATTAAATAGAGAAAAAAATTAAATTTTTCCAATGATAATTTATAGTATTTTATTCTATATTATATTACAACATAAAATATTATTTACCATTCAACTAAACATGTACTGTTATGTACATTGTTTAAATTTTCGATCGTGGCCATATCGTTATAAATATATAAATATATATATATATATATATATATATATATATATATTACATCTAACGTATGTTTACTCAAACTATGTAAGATTTTATTTTTATGAAATTAATGAATGAAATATATACAAAGTCGGCTCTTAATTCATTTTATATATGCTCATTTAAAAATGAAAAAATTTAATTTAAAGACACGAAAATCAATAATTTGTAATTATCTAATTAACTTAATAACTTTATCATGAATATTTTTTACAAATCACAAATTTACAATGCAATAATTATATCCATGTACGTTCCCAATGTATATAACAAAATAATCTTTTTCATGTTTATTAAATTTAAAAAATGAAATTGTTTCACTTCTTAAATAATCCTTATTCTTTAATAATTATATTTCAAAAATAATGCACATATTAAAATTTAGTTATTCTTTAAGAGTTGCATATTAGAAAGATTTATATTTAATATAGATATTGAAAAATTGCATTGGAAGATTCTTAAATGATTAATGGAGTTTGTAAAAGTTTAAAAACGAAACACGTAAATTCATATATATATATATATATATTTTTTTTTATACTGTATAAAAGAAGTTAAAAATTATTTTATCAATCATTATAATCTTATCATTTCTTATTAATTAAGATAAAGATAAAGATAAAAAAAAAGCTATGAATTAATTAGAATTGTTAAATTACTCTAAAAGAATTTTGTTATGTTTAAATATCAGTTGTGCTCGGCTAAAAAACTAATGAAATGTTTATTTTATGTATGATTTATTTCAATGTGAGTATTGAACATTTGTTAGATTTTGCCTTTTCTTGATTAGATAAATATGTGTAGACGAAAATTTATATATTATACAACCAGTTTTAAGTATAACCTTATCATTATATATATAATTAATCTAATTATCATTAAAGAGAAAAATAATGGTTTCGTGTATAAATTTTTTTATTATGCTTTTACGTTGTAACGTATATGCTAATGAAGCGTTCTATTTAAACAAAAATTTCATGATTTTTGCCTTTTGTATAGAAATATAAAGAATTAAACACCTACTGACGAAGTGCTCGTAATAGCAAATAAACCAAAAAATTTAACTACAATATAATAATTTATTTCATTCAAATTAATTAATATGGCATAAATGAAATTTCTTAATACGCTTTATAAACTTGCAAAGATTGATTAATATTTATTTTCAAATCAAAATTACTATCATTTAATCAGAGAAAGTTGAAGTTGTTAAACTTTTATTGTACTATAAAAAGACATCAATCTCTGTTTATTATATGCATTGCGTAATTTATTTGTGAAAATTAATTTTAAAACGAAAACATGGTTCGGTTAATTCATTAATTGAAATGAATAGAAAACGTAGATTTAATTTTGTATTTACAAACAGTAGTCCGTGTTCTTTAAACTCTTTTATGTTGCCGTTGTGTATTTTAACAGTATTAAACACGTAAAAAAATTATTGTATAATGATGAAATAATAATTTTTTGCAATCATAATATTCATTGTAAAAATATGCAAATACCTGCAGTAATAAATAAGTTGCGTCAAAAAAATATTCTATTTCAGTCACAATGGATGCTATAAACAAACTTTTGCCATGTGCAGTGAGAATTTAATGCTATAAAAACTATTTGATTAATTAAAAGTAAATATTTTAAATACACAGAAGTGGTAAATAACAAAATACTCCAGAAATAATATAAAATATATATTATTTTCTTAGAAGTAACCATGCGAATTATTATAAAATTACGAGACACTTAAAAGCTTATGATTTGAGTGTCAATTGATTTAATAATGAAAATAATATTTTAAAATATTTTAAAAAGTGAAAAATATGTCAAATTGAAATGTCTTATCATCTTAACACTTCTCTATGTAGGCTGATTTTGTTTAAAAATACTTCTAAAATTAATAAAATAATATTTCAAATAAGAATTAATTTTATAAAACGATTGCATGATATTAAATATATTTATTAAAGAAATAATTGAAATATCGTAGCTTAATTAGAAATATCAGATTATATTTTTAATATAATATTTATAAACACAATTTTGCAAAATAATTAGAAATTTATCACTAGTTCTTGGCAAAAAATTTTCCTCTAATTTTTAGTAAAAAATCAGTTTCAATCGGAATGATAATAAACTATCAAAAGGTCTTGTATTGAAAAAGTATATTAAGAAAATTAAATATTAAGAATCATACAAATTTCAATATTTATTGATGTTATAGTTTTTCATAAAAACGCTTCAAGGTAAAATTATTGGATATAAAAACAAAAAATTGCATCATTATATATTCTAAAAATAAAATTCAAATCTCTAAAATGATATACTCTACAAGTAGATATATATCGTGTTGAATATAAACATTATTTTCTAAAGTTAAGAACGTTGTGTAGAATTTTCTTATAAGCACGAAAGATTAAGTAGATAATTATTATATTTAAATTTGTATATTCGAACGCATTGTAATGTTAATTTGTTTATATCATTGTGATTGCATTAAATAATGGTTAAAAAATTTCAACTCATAATTTTAGAAAGTATTTCATTTAATAATTTTAGTTTTCTACATTCATAATTACTTTGAAAAGTATAAATTTCAATTGATTAAAAATTAATAAGTTCATTGTGAAAATGAAGAAAAATTCAATGTTTCTTTCACAATAGCAACTTTCACAATTGCAA